GCCCGGCTGCCCCGGAGAGGTGAGTCTCGCGCTGCGGCGAGCGCTGGGCATCAGCCCTCGGCGGAAACTCGGGGTCCTTGGAGCCCTGGAGATCCTCTCCCCCATCCCTCCTGTTTTACAGAAGGGAAAACTGAGACGCAAGGCGAGGCAGCGGCCGGGGTGGAGCAATCTCCTAGAGCGGTGGCCGGGATTCGAACCGGGCCAGCCAGACCCGGTCTTTGCTCCAGGGCTTGAGTAACGCAGCCGTGGGACGGCTGCGCGCGGCCGTGCCGTCCTCCGCCTCGGAGGGATCGGCTGTGGTCTCCCTTCGCCCTGGCTTCCCGGGAGCGCTGTGTAAGCCCCGAGGGGAGGAGTCGGTGTGCCTCAGCCTGCACGCTTGTGTCCCCTCGCCCCAGTCCAGCTGTGACAGCGTGACATCGCTGCCAGCAGCCTCACTCCCTCTTCCTGACCTGCTTTCTCCGGAAGATGCTCCTACCGAGGGTGTCCAACAGGCTCCTGGCCCAGTTGGGGAAGAGGTAAGGAACCTGGCGCTGCTGACCTCCTGTGGTAGCCTCAGTTATCTCCCAGCTCCCCAGGAGCTGAGCTGTTGGCCCTGTGGGACAGCGGATGTCCCCGTCTAGGAAGAGCGGAATTCCAGGCGCTCCGTCGCCCCTGCCCACTTCTGAGTGGTGGGAGGAAGGGAGGGAGCTGAGTTAGAGGCAAAAAATCAAAAACGTACTAGCAAACTTCTGTTGCTTCCTCTAAGAGCCAGTTCCCAACCTGTCTACCCTGCACTCTTCGGTTGCGAAATTGTGAACCCGGGGATCATAGGAAGCCTTCGAGACTCAGCAGGGTAGATCCCCGGGTTAGCTACCAGCTGGCAAAACGAGATTTACTTGGTTTACATCTCAGCTGTGTGAACTTGGGAAAGTTAGCCCACCTTTCCGACCCCCCACCCCCTTTGCAGAATGGAGATTGTAATGTCAGAGTGCGGCTTTATGAACACTTGTGAGGATAAAATGGGAAAATCCAAATGACACGTTTGGTGGAGTGCCTGGCTCGGCACCTGGTCGGTTCAAAACAGATGACACCAGTGTGAGTATTGTACAGTGATCCTGGAGATGTGGAGTTTGAGAACGGTGATTTTACTGCTTAGGAGTGACCTTGTTTTATATCTGGAAAGGTGATGCTATTTTCTTCTTTGGAGTTGGAGCAGTTTTTTATAGTAAGCTTTTTTTTTTTTTTTTCCCTGCATATTGTCCACGTGTGACTCGGAGAATAAATTCTTGATCTGGGATATCAAATGGATTGTTTTTAGTGATGGGCATTTCCTACTAGCTTTTAGGTCAATCCTTATGTTTGTGAACGGCCCTGACCTTAGGCATTCTTTACTGACAAAGAGGGTCTTGAGTTCCAGGAGGGATAAAAAAGATAAGAACAAGTTGGAAGGTGCAGTTGTGTTGTGGAGTGTGCTAAGCCACATCATCCTGCTGTCTTAGATCAGTCAAGCAACTCTGTGTTTTTCAGCTGATATCAGAAAACAGCAATAAAATGGGGATGTATTTCTGTGGGACTGTGCAGGCTGCTGCTGAATTCAATCCCTTCTGAACACTAACTTGCTTTATTTAAGCACATGCATGCGCTTGCGCACATGCATACACACACACACACACACACACACACACATCTTTCTGTATTATTGCTATTTTATAATTAAATAGCTCCTTTCATATATCCCTATCCTGCTCATGTCAATTCATCTTATTTTAATTCATACAGTTATTTACCATTATATCCTGGCTAAATGAATAAAGTACTTAGCTTTAGAGTAGGCTGCCGCCTTCACCATCCTCAGCGTTCCTTTGCAGTATTGATCAGTGCTTGAGAAGGAGTGTGATAGGTTTTGAGGGACGGTGAGAGTCCAGCAGTGCCCGCTTGGGTATCTCCCACACCAAACGTTTGCAGAGGATGGGATCACTTGCTTCCGTCAGCTTGTTCTGTGTGCATGCATTGTGATGAGCTGGCCACGATACGTCTGAACGTGTGCCTGAGGGACCAGGGACTTGTGGGGAAAAGAAAAATGCTCAAAATAAGGTCATAACAAGGGGATGGAAGGGAGATTGGAAGCAAATTCTTGTAGGTTCTTTGAAGAAAGCACATCGAGTTATATCCTTTCTCCTTACACATATTATTATTTCTTGTTGCCCAAACCATGCATATACATTCTGTGTATATATATGGATACAGTTTTAACATTTCTGAAGTGCATTCCACATACATTATCTTCCTTGTTACTTCCAATAGCCCTGGGAGAAGGACATGTTAGGCATATTAATAGTGAAAGGAGCCCATATTTTGTGATCAAACCTACTTGATTTCAAATTCCAGCTCCAGTACCTAAGTAGCTGGATGACACTAAGCAATTTGTTTCATTATTTCGAGCTTCTGTTTTGTCCAGTTCTAAAATGGAGCAAACGTGTACTTTCAGAATTTGTGTTACGATTAAATTCACTAAAATAGTATCAAGTACAGGTAGTGAATAGGTGTTCATTAAAGGATGTCTCAGCTAAGCTGAAGTGATTAAAAGGAGAACAGGAATGAGATTCAGAAATGGGAGATTGCCAGGGGTCACGTGGTTTGTAAATTTCAGCTCTAGGAATGTAGTTCACACCTTTTGACTTCTAGATCAGGGATTTTCTTGGCACACTCTGCCGCCTCTCCGGTGAGATACTGAGCAATTTACTTCAGTTGTTAGGTTGATCTTATTTAGTTTGTGATTTCAGGATATCTTTTTTTTGGTCAGAAAGTGGATATTTCCTTCATACGAGAACAATTCCTCAGCTTGCCGCTGTGGAATGTAGTGGAGCCAGTTCTCAGGAGATTTTAAAGTAATGAGCTGTCAGGTAATCTTGTGATTCTCTCGTGTTTGATGTGATGCACCTTCAGTTCCTAGGAGGAAGAGTACTGTGAAGACATAAGGTTCAGAATTTCGTCAGGTTTTTCTTTGTGTTCTGAGTGGTTTCTCCCCTCTGCCATCAATAATAGCTAGAAGACTGATATGAAGAGTGAGAAATAAAAATCATGAGTAGCGATAGCAACATTCAACTTTTTCACCAACTCGTAATGATAAAGGGTGGAATAGAGACATTAATGTGCCAAAGCAACATTTGAAAAAAAAAATCACTACTTGCTGTTGGTGCTAATCACTGGTCTGCAGTGCTGTTCCTCTGCTTGCATAGTGATGGGTGCAGGCCTATGCATGAAGCTGAACAGATCTTGGCAACCTAGTTAGTGAGGCCACCTATCCATGGTGACTTCAGCTCAGTCGTGGGGCCATTTAACTATGGTGACTTCCTGTAGGCCACCAAGTTTCCCCTCTTTGGAGCAAGGAGACAGACTTGCACATACAGTTCTGGGAGGAATATTTTGCTGCTCACTTTGACATCTGCAAACATATGTTTGCTTTTGCCAAAAGGTGGACAGTTAGCATCATTTTACCTAGTGTAATTAAAAAAGCAGAATGTGGCTAGAGAACATTATAAGAAGAGACAGCAGGGGGAAAAAAAAAGGTCATCTAAAGTGTACACACAATTTCATTTGTTGCCCAACTTCGTCAGGCTTCTGGTGGTGACACAGATGTAGGATCTGGTGAGTCACTGTCACTGCGCCTGTGAGATATTAGAGAGCCACCTACTGTGCTCTTTACCCATTTTGGAAATTGTTCTGTGGGGGAAGAATATCACCAAAGAACAAGAAGGTCACAGAACATTTGGTATCTGACATTCTGGGGGATAAATTCGGGTTAGCATTTCATGTGCCTATTTTCAAAAACGTGGAGTTCATGGTTTATGCTGATGCAAAGGTTAGGAGACCTCCATCTAGACAATTTTAACACTGTATATCAGCTGCAGCAGTGTGAGTTCTAGAGTGTGCCAGGTACCTGAGACAAGCTCTTTAGCAGGGCTCTGCAAATAGGAACTAGGGACACAGATGTCTACTTAGAAGCTTCATGCCTATTCTCAGGAGCCTGTAATAGTCGTTAATTCTTCTATCAGCAATTCCCTTTAATTTACTATTTTGCTAAATTATGATCATCAACACTTAACAACTGCCTTTTATTGAATTCCATTATTATTTGTGCTGAGTGTTTTACATATATCAATTCATTCAACTCTTGCAATAATCTCACTTTTTAAGGAAACCAAGGCTCATAAGAGTTCAGTAGTACTATCCATGTCATATAGCACAAATCACGAAATGATGCTGAGAATCATCTTTGCATTTCACTGTAGAACTAGGAGCAACCATGAATTGTCCAGCCTCTGGCTAGAACTGAGGACCTGGACCAAGACTTACAGTTCATTTCATTCACATCCCACATTTCTAATCCTGGTATAACTTTGTCTGTGACCGAGTTTTCTGTCTTGAACCTAAAATGTGAGAAACCTGAACTAGCTGATCTCTTGAGTTTCTTCTGCCACAGTGCATTGTGTACTTTTCTTTAAGATTGCTTTTAGCTCTGAAACTCTGCAGTCATATCGCTTTGCAAAAGTCAAGGCTACAAGAGGCAAAGGGGGCTAAAGAGAAAATACTCTTGTTTTATGCCCTGGAGATGGATTCCCCAGCCAAAGAGAAGTACAAGAGAAATCAGTATTCATTGGTGCATGTGTGCTTGTCATTTCATTTAAGCACAAAAATAACTCTTGTATATGTTATTGTCTCCCTTTTCCAAATGAAAGAACTGAGGTTCAGAAAGCTTACAGACTTGCCCAAGGTTACCCAATTAGTAAAGTGTATGCTTGAATGCAAAGCCTTTTGTTCCAGCATGCTGCATTTACGGGATACCAGAACATAGAATCTGAATACCTGCATAACTAGACTTACGAATGCCCCTCTACCTACCTATATCCTTAGACTATGCCGCCTAAAGACACCTAAATCGTTAGTCCTTTTTTTTCCTCTTACCTTTTAGACATGAAACTCATCTCCTTTCTTGATTCTTCCCAGTTCATGAAATTCCCTTAAATGCTCATAACATTTTTTGTTTTCATTTGATATATTTTATTTTTACTGTGCCTTTGTTCAGGTCCTTGATTATCACCTAAGTAGTTGAAAATAAAGTTTGTCCTGCCCCTTGCCTATTATAATGCCTTATACGTACAAAGTACAAAAGTAAATGGAAGAGATGGATTCACACAAGGTCAGATAGACCCAGAATTAGCTTTGAGATTTTCCTTTTATTTTATCATAACATTAATTAGCTTAAAGGTTGTCTCTGTAGACAAATAGAATAGTTACAATTTCCTTTCATTTTGTGGTTACAAAAATAAGACAATTGATAAAGAGCCACAGACTCTAGGAGGGTTGGACATCTTTGGCTTGATGGCGACAAAACACATTTTTGTTGTAATAATAAAAGGCATTTTGCAGCAAACACAGTAAAAAAATGACACTGAAATATATACTTGCATATATGGACAGCAAGGTCAGTGTCAAGAGTGATCAATAAACTACCTGAAAATAAGAAGTTTCCATG